GCCACGCGGTGCATTCAACAAGCTGCGATGGAACCTAGAGCCCCCTTACATCTATGTATCAGCTATGATGTAATGTTATGGAACGGAGAGAATCCGAGTTGATACTTGGTGTTATACCCGTCAGATAACTCGACATGGTCGACATGGACCATGACTTCGAGTAAACCAGGTTTTGTTGTCAATCGTCTATCAACCTGAACTATAGGCGCAAACGTGCAGCCATCCTCGATAATCCAGGCTATTATCTCTACGTTCTGTTATGATAAAAACCCTGGGCACATTCGTTTTGGGGATGTGACATCCGATCTGCTGCCTCCGTGGTCTAGTGGTAGAGCGTCCGCCCGGAGAGCGGAAGGTCCGGGGTTCGATCCCCGGCCGCGTCATACCAAAAGACGTTAAAAGATGGTACTTGTTGTTACCCTGTCTGGCGCTCGGCATTAAGAGGCTAAAACAAGGACTGGTCGGCTCGGAGTCAGTATACTGTGTCTGAGTGGGGTATTCACTAGTACAAGCAGCAACACACACACACACACACACACACACACACACACACACACACACACACACACACACACACACACACACACACACACACACACACACACACACACACACACACACACACACACACACACACACACACACACACACGTGCATGCACGTCGCTATTTAAGTGCAATAATCTTGGACGCGACGTTAAACCCAATTTCACCTCACCTAACCTCACCTCCGATCTCCATCATTCTTATCAAGAACTTCGCATAGAATTCTCTGGCGTGTAATAAGTTTTAGCGTCGTGTCATTCGAGACAAACTCTCAACAAAGCTAGAAGCCGGGCCCCAGTCCATACTATCGAAACTCCTATATTCTAACAGAGACAAACGATAGTCGTAACGCTAAAATCGCTTTGTGGCCCGAGGTGGTTGAAACAATAATTGGATGGAATAATTGAATATGACATACCGTTTTGCTGTCGACATGATATAACCTACGAATTTAAAAGTAGCATATAACAAGGTATATGCATTAAGAGATTATCCACTACTCTATATGCTGTCATCCAACAAAACCAATCTGATTTATTTGCTTCAGGCTGTGTCACATTATTGCACTAGTGCTTATCGCAGGCCCGCCGCCGTACTGGGGTTCAGCAGGGAGCTCACCACTGCCTACGACTCTTTAGATGCCTTTGTTACAACTTAACTGTTTGCTTCGAAAAGATAAACAAAACAGTCAGCTGAATTAAAGCAGCCATATGGTTGAACAGATAGTTCTATCTCAGCCATTAGTGGAGCAGGATATTATTAAAAGCGAAGACCTTGCCTCGATGGATACAATGTATGAAGCCTATTCTTCCCCCGCAGTGATATGACCAGAATATTGCAACACGTGGGACAAAATTGTAATCACTCACAAACCGTGCGTGTAAACTAAAACCAGGGCTAATGTTTATGGCTCACATCGTCACAGATTATTTATCAACATGTCACAAAAAATATCCCTACGATCAAAACTGAAATACAGATTGGTTGATGGTTAATGTGGGCGTTCTGTAACCGCAACTAGTTAGTGAGTGAGTGAGTATGGTTTTACGCCGCTTTTAGCAATATTTCAGCAATATCACGGCGGGGGACACCAGAAATGGGCTTCACTCAACTAGTTAGTGCGGAGCTCACTTTCCAAATGGCATCCGCCATGTAACATCGTCATTGTTAAAATCACGGAATATCCAGCTGACGGCATGATCTAGCTCCTGTTACCCAACATTCTCATATGAGGAGACCCGTGAAGATTCCGGGGTAGAATAGGTCTTCAGAAACCCATTCTTGCCGTAAAAGGTGACTTTGCTTGTCGTAAAAGGCGACTAACGGTATCGGGTGGTCAGGCTCGCTGACTTGGTTGATGCATGTCATCGATCCCAATTGCGTGGATCGATGCTCATGATATCAATCACTGGATTGTCTGGTCCAGACTCGATTATTCACAGACCGCCGTCATATAGCTGGAATATTGCTGAGTGCGGCGTTAAACAACAAACCAACCAACCATATGAGGAGACAAGACTTTAATTAATGTAACGATAAAGAGATCCGATATTGAGACCATCGTTCATATTGGATTTCAGGTATAATTCATCATGTCATTGTTGCTTGGCGTTCGGGATTTGGGCTGAATGCCCATCCCTGCATTTGATAAGGTGGTCGATGTAAGCAATGGTCTATTGCGTTATGTTGTTGATGGTATAATATCAGGGGTGACCTTCACAAAATTAATCGCATTTCAACATCGATTTTATCACTGGAGATTTTGGCAAATAGGCAAATGATGTCCATGAATGAACTGTTGCTCTGTAAACGATTCCCCCATTATTTACACGCGCAATTTGTCACACACTCCGATTATGTCTGTCACACAGAGGATGTGGTGATCAATAAGACAATACCCTACTGACGTAATGGAATAATCCAACTAACGCCAGCGTGGTCGCTGAGTGATATCACAGAAACCATTGATATGCATGAAAAAGTTTCAAGGATGTGTGAAATTAGCAGTTTTCAGTTAGAGAATATTGATCAAAGGTTAAGACAATAGTTTTGTGTTTTAGATAACTGTCAACTGCTTACTGATTACGTTCCGTTTACCCTTTATGCTAGAAGGGCCCATAAATATGTGACAATCATCTCGTAGTCTATCCTAGACTATCAAGTGTATTTTATTTCCATCCTTTTGCTTTGTTTGTTTGTTTGTTTGTTGTTTAACGCCGCACTCAGCAATATTCCAGCTATATGACGCGGTCTGTAAAATAATCGAGTCTGGACCAGACAATCCAGTGCTTGACATCATGAGCATCGATCCACGCAATTGGGATTGATGACATGTATCAACCAAGTTAGCGAGCCTGACCACCTGATCCCGTTAGTCGCCTTTTACGACAAGCATAGTCGCCTTTTACGGCAAGTATTGGTTGCTGAAGACCATTCTATCCAGGAATCTTCACGGGTCCATCCTTTTGCGATAATAACCTTGTTTAATTAGCTACCATAGCCTCGTTTCGGAAATGACGTCGCTATTTCTAACTCTCTTATCACTAACCTACCACAGACTTTCTCTCGCTCATGAGAGCTATTTGATTGGACGGCCCTTTCTACCGCCTTGCCATGCAAATTGGGCTCAAATTTGTGTTGTTTGTTTGTTTGTTGTTTAACTTCGCACTCAGAAACATTCCAGCTGTATAATGGCGGTGCGTAAATAATCGAGTCAGGACCAGACAATCCAGTGATTGACATCATGAGCATCGATCTACGCAATTGGGATACGATGACATGCATCAACCAAGTCACCTAGCCTGTCCAACCGATCCCGTTAGTCGCCTCTTACGACAAGCATGGGTTGCTGAAGACCAATTCTAACCCGGATCTTCACGGGTAAACTGAAGCTATGGTAGAGAAGAGGTCCGGGGTTTATCACAACTGGGATATAATCCATGGGATAATCGAGGGAGCTCGTGGTCACCCCTATTTGCACGTGGCATCCAGCGTGGGTGAATGGGATGTAATTACATATAACATAACCATATCTCAGCTTCCACTCCCGAATTTGGCCTGGAGTAATGATGACAACGTTCGTAACATTCGGTGTGCTATTTGTGTTTATACATCCAAAATAGGGCCACGGACTTTTCATAACGGGATTTGTGAGTGAGGGAATATGGTTTTTACGCCGCTTTTAGCAATATTCCAGCAATATCACGGCGGGGGACACCAGAAATGGGCTTCACACATTGTACCCATGTCGGGAATCGAACCCGGGTCTTCAGCGTGACGAGCGAACGCTTTAACCACTAGGCTACCCGACCGCCCTAACGGGATTTGTGTATTGAGGGCGTGAGTTATAGTTGTACAAAGACTTAGAATACTCGAACTTTTATCCAGTACATCATATAAAGTTCGTTGGTTTGTTGTTGTTTTTGTTTAATGCCACACTCAGCAATATTCCAGCTAGATGACGGTGGTCTGTAAATAATCGAGTCTGGACCAGACAATTTAGTGATTAATATCATGAGCATCGATCCACGCAATTGGGATCGGTGACATGCATCAACCAAGTCAACGAGCCTGACCACCCGATCCCGTAAGTCGCCTTTAACAGCAAGCATGGGTTGCTGAAGACCTATTCTACCCCGGATCTTCACGGGTCTCATATAAAGTGATGATATGTTATGGTCTGGGTATCAGGCAGAAACATAATCGGCCCTGTGGTATTACGTTGGATCTTCATTTTTTTTAGGAGACGGTGGGTTAGCCTAGTGGTTAAAACGTTCGCTCATCTCACCGAGGACGCGGTTTCGATTTTCCACATTGGTACAATGTGTGAAGCCAATTTCTGGTGTCCCCCGCCGTGATATTGCTGAAATATTGCTAAAAGCGGTGTAAACCCACGGATCTTCCGTGTGACTAGCTGACGCTTTAACCACTGGGCTATCCCGCCACCCCTATAACATCAAATGACAGACATGACATAATAATCAACATAAAGTAGGTGGACAAGTGAAACACATTTGGACTGGGCACTTCATTAGGCTTTTTTGGTTGTATTAATTCTTTTTAACAGCAGAAACATAAAGGTTTTCAAGAAGTGTTATTTTTCTTCGAACCATGTCTGCTAGCAATTTACAATTTGGGACCGTTCATTTATTCTAAGGGATTGGGGCATGAAAAAATGACAGTGAAAGAGGAGGGAGGTGCAAAATGTATGTACAATCAAAGGGCGGGGGCGAGGTGGGTGGGTGGGTTGGGGGCATATAAAGAAAGACAGCTCTATTTTTTTCAAATAAATTCTTTTATTTAAATGTACATTATTTAAATACTGCTAATTTATTATAGGGGATGGTGGGATGTGGTCGTGGAATCAGAAAATATGATACAGTCATAAGGCCAATCTCACCGCCACCCCCCCCCCACACCCACACCCCGCCACCCCCCACCCCACCCCACCCTGTAATAAATGTCCAGTCTCTTGTAAAGAAACATCCAAATTAGCTTCAAGCAGCACCTTTGTTAAATTTCTTTCTTTTTTTATTTATATCGACAATACATTTCACTTCAGATAAATATGTTTTTACAATTTCATTTCTATTTCGAATACTAGTTTTTGAAATGCTACCACCAATCAACAATCAAAACTCAAGAGGGTCAGTTTTACCAGCGGATAACATTCATTTCTTATTTAACTTGATGGACATAACATGCAATAAACAGACAATTACTTGCAAGCTGCATAGAAAGTCTAGCTTAATATGCCTGGTAACGTCTGTGCATGTACTTCATTCAAAGCTTCAGTGAGTGAGTGAGTGAGTATGGTTTTACGCCGCTTTTAGCAATATTCCAGCAATATCACAGTGGGGGACACCAGAAATGGGCTTCACACATTGTACCCATGTCGGGAATCGAACCCGGGTCTTCGGCGTGACAAGCGAACGCTTTAACCACTAGGCTACCCGACTGCCCTTCAAAGCTTCAGATGGACTGTTCTGTGTGGTGAGGCACTAATACTACAGCTATAATAGTTGTTGGTCTGAAACACATCAGGTGAGTTTGGAGGTACCAATAAAGTCTGGCATGGTATATTTTAAAAACCATCAGACATGGGCATTTTGCAGGTACTAAGATGTCAGGCCTGGATGTGTTTGGAGGAACCCGTGAGGTCAAGCCTGGATGTGTTTGGAGGAACCAATGAGGTCGGGCCTTGATGTGTTTGGAGGAACCCATGAGGTCAGGCCTGGGTGTGTTTGGAGGCACCCATGAGGCCAGGCCTGGATGTGTTTGCAGGAACCCATGAGGCCAGGCCTGGATGTGTTTGGAGGAACCCATGAGGTCAGGCCTGGATGTGTTTGGAGGAACCTATGAGGTCAGGCCTGGATGTGTTTGGAGGAACCCATGAGGTCAGGCCTGGATGTGTTTGGAGGAACCTATGAGGTCAGGCCTGGATGTGTTTGGAGGAACCCATGAGGTCAGGCCTGGATGTGTTTGGAGGAACCTATGAGGTCAGGCCTGGATGTGTTTGGAGGCAACCATGATGCCAGGCCTGGATGTGTTTGGAGGAACCCATGAGGTCAGGCCTGGATGTGTTTGGAGGAACCCATGAGGCCAGGCCTGGATGTGTTTGGAGGAACCTATGAGGTCAGGCCTGGATGTGTTTGGAGGAACCTATGAGGTCAGGCCTGGATGTGTTTGGAGGAACCTATGAGGTCAGGCCTGGATGTGTTTGGAGGAACCCATGAGGTCAGGCCTGGATGTGTTTGGAGGAACCCATGAGGTCAGGCCTGGATGTGTTTGGAGGAACCTATGAGGTCAGGCCTGGATGTGTTTGGAGGAACCTATGAGGTCAGGCCTGGATGTGTTTGCAGGAACCCATGAGGTCAGGCCTGGATGTGTTTGGAGGCAACCATGATGCCAGGCCTGGATGTCTTTGGAGGAACCTATGAGGTCAGGCCTGGATGTGTTTGGAGGAACCTATGAGGTCAGGCCTGGATGTGTTTGCAGGAACCCATGAGGTCAGGCCTGGATGTGTTTGGAGGCAACCATGATGCCAGGCCTGGATGTGTTTGGAGGCAACCATGATGCCAGGCCTGGATGTGTTTGGAGGAACCTATGAGGTCAGGCCTGGATGTGTGTGAGTTGGGTGGGTGCCACATGACACAGTCCTAAGACGAATCCACAGCATACTTCCAGTGCTTCAGACTGTCCACGACCTACACAAGCTATGGGACACAGATAATGTGTCACGTGTTCCATCAATATTGACATGAGTCGATCAACATCACGGACAAGTTTCAAACTGAAAGCATTCCTTCACACAATCACCATGACCAATTGTCAGAAAATTGTTAGCTGTTTCTGGGGATCAACAGGCAATATGCTTCTCTCGTCCTCGCCATTCCCACATAGTATACAGGACATCTCGTACACCTGAAACAAACAAGGCCAACCTATTTACACTTACCTATGCAACTGTTAAAGTTAAATAATCCTGGAACAATTCTATAAAGATGGACCAAGTACAGGTTAGCACTGCAATTTGCTGTGCAGAGTTGCATCCCTTGGGCATACCAGAAACCTAAGAGGTGGGTTTCAATCCCAGTTCGCAATAATTATGTTTCTATGTTTGTCAGCACCATACCCGTTTTCACATGGGTTTCACCAAAATGGTAAACGTCTAAGACCTCCATCACTTCAGGCTTTCCTCCCACATGAGGCTGACAACTTGAATACTGATCAAGGTCGTGTTGAACCCAACTCCCTCACTCCAAAATGAACAGTTTAAATATTGTTAAAGGCAATAAGGAAAGTTTACAAGTATTCACAAAGTTCTCAATGTAACTTTTTTGAATCAAGTCTCAGTTTGTATGTGAACAGAATGCAATATTTTGCATCTGATAAAAAAACATTGAAAACGAAATGGTCCAAAATCAATAGCAAAAACTTTTTTTAGTTGACACATTTACAATATATATTAAACTACAGTATTCTACATGTTCTTTGTATCAGTACCAAGAACAACTCCAATTCTTCATAAAATAAGTGTTTAGAATGTTTGAGTAAAGGAAGAGTTATGTCCCTTGATTTAGCCTGTGTGACTTAATGATGAAGGATGGTTTATTATAGGGCTGGGACGAGTCCAAATTTACTACCCAAGTAGCGGCTGTAGGTCTCAAGAGATGGGTACAAAATGTCCAATTGGGAACTTTTATACAGGAGCCCTGGAAAGAGATCTATTTTGATGCACACATAAATTGATCTGATCATGTATACACTGAAGTTGACTGAAGCTTTATCTTTACTCAAACATAAAAAAGTCAGAAGGAATGTGTGTATGGAAATTGGAGACTTGGAGTTTAACCATGGAGTTTAATTGTTATTGTCAATAAACAATATATCACATGACTAACTATAGGCCTGGGTAGTCCTGTGGGTACCCAAATTAAACATCCCAGCCCTAGTTTGCAATCATCCCTGTCTGCTGACTGCCTCCATGGTCTAGTGGATATTCCATTCTAGTATACCCATAGAATGGGAGGTCAGTGGTTCCATCCCCAGGGGCGTCATACCAAAAGACACTATAAGATGGTACTTGTCATCTGCCTGCCGCTCAGCATTAAGAGGATAAAACAAGGACTGTTCACCTCATAGTCATTTCACTGTGTCTGCGTGGGGTATTCATGTTAAACTGCAGCATGGAATCTAAGTAGGCTACCACTATAAAAGTGGCATTAGTCCAGACTAGCCACTAGTTTAGTTAAAAAATTGACAGAGTAATAACTAAACTAATAACAGGCCACACTAAGTTAAACTCCCACCTACACCAAATTAAAAAACACCAAACCGGTAAATGCCCCCACTGCAACTTAGAACGCCTGAACACGTAATACTATATTGCACTCATTACCAGCAACACAGAACAACACTCCAATCCACACTAAATTGCAACAATCAAATGACACTAGCAACAGTACTAAATCCCCTAAATGTCTAACAAACATTTAAAGCACTAGGCAAATATCTCATCAAAACAGGCCTACTTGGCCACATTTAATAAAATAAAATAAAAGTACAACAAACAAGCTGCCATAATAAACCCTAAAATTCTAAACCTATAAAAACACACAAACTCCCTTTAGTCCATCCACACACACCAAATTCCAAATTTGTTCTCCAAATTAAGTAAGCAACCCTAAAAGCCCCACCGAGGTTGCCTCACCTTTTCGGACATACCCTTTTCAACCAAACACCAAATGGCCTGGCGGGCCCGTGGGCAAAATACGCATATGTCGGAAAGCGCACGTTAAATTCCTAATTTAAGTAAGTAAGTAAGTCTAGCCACACACACACACCCCCTTGATGCATGTTGAAATATTAGTGCAATAATCTTGAATGCAACGTTAAAACCAATTTCACCTCACCCCATGTCTCTGCTGGGTGGTAAATGCCATCTGACCTGGGATGAGCTACTCACCTGATAATCAGCCTCAACTCGGAAAATGTATTCATGATCTGCGATGACATGCTCACAGGACTTGCACACATCTGAAGGAAATACATAGTAAAATGTATCCATGACAACTGCACTTTTACCGTTTTGATAATAAAATAACAGTAATTTGACTTAGAAAGAGGAAAATATCAAAATATTTATAAAGTAAACATGGTAAAGTCAATTCATCCTCAAACTGTAGACCTCTGTGATGGATTTTGTTCCAATAATTATGTCATGAAATGTTATTAGACTGAGTAATGGAGGACACTTACCTGGATTTATCCTGGATTCTAAACTAAGTGCCCCTGACAGGCAAATTGGAGAAAAAAATCATTACTTTCTTCAAAAAAAGATTTTTTCTTAAGTTCATATTTTATTATATTTAGAAGTATTTTAACATTGTTTATTTGAAACTGCATTTATTGCAATAATATAAAACTAGGCATTACAACCAGAGACCATAAACGAGGATGTATTTTACAGTCTGTGTAACACCCTCTTCCCCTTTATCATCATGATCATGTTTATTGGTGCTTTTTTTCAGTGAAATACAGGTTATCCCTACAAAGCCATACACCTAGTTATCAGTTATATACCAGTGTGATATATATGAACATGAATTGGTCAATTTGTAATTCTAATTTTGTAAAGACATTTACTGCAGAATTCGGGCTGGATATCGGCTTCTGCGCAGGTCTAATAAATCCATGTTAATGAGGTTTCTCTGTAGCAAGAATTATTAAACAGAGTACTTGCTTGATATTTATGGGTCAAATTACAATGAATATGTTTCACAAAGTTCTATATAAAAAGCCCAAAGAGGATACAGTTACCATAGTTACAGTTAGTGGATTGGTTTGCAGCCAACGTAAACACCAGTAATATTCATTTTGTAAATTTAATATAATGGTTCACACACATCCGTTGGCCAGAAATGATAGTATATAATTAAATAAATTTCATAAAACAAGGATTTAAAAATCTAAATTAGGTAAATTATTATTGTTTCAGTAATTCCGTAAAATCAACTGTTACCATAGCAAACTCATATTCTATTAAAAAAGGAAAAAATTATTTACACATTCTGATTTTTTTCAACAGAGTTCTTTTGACCGTAAAACTTTGACATAAGCAGCACCTACGCTGATATGTGATGACTTCATCCCCGTTTTCCTCCTCACTGCAAACTCTGTTGATGACCTTCACCTCTCCCCGATTCTTACAGTCGGCACACTGGGCATAGTTCACCATGTATGACCCATTGTCCACACACATACTGCCCTGTAACACATGCAGGGAGTCTTGATCAGGTTGTTACATAATACTGACTGACTGACTGAGTATGGTTTTACGCCGCTTTTAGCAATATTCCAGCAATATCACGGCGGGGGACACCAGAAATGGGCTTCACACATTGTACCAATGTCGGGAATCGAACCCGGGTCTTCGGCGTGACGAGCCAACGCTTTAACCACTAGGCTACCCGACCGCCCCTTGTTACATAATACATCACATGCATGATTGGACCACTGGCACACACAACATTGTGGACATAGAGTAGCAAACAAACATGGAAAAACATATATTCTCAATTATTAATATTTTCCACATCACTTTAACTGGACAGATTATCAATTGTAGTGAGTGAGTCGGCTGGATTTAGGGACACTTTGAACAGTATTTCATGTTAATGTGGGAGGAGAGTCCAAAGGGATGCACATATATAGTGGACACTTACCCCTCGTGAAACCAATAAACTAAAGTTGATATAGGTCTACATGTGTTACAAACAAAGATTAAAATGGAATACATGGCATATGCAGTCACTGAAATATGCAAATGAAATACTAAAAATATGACTAGGTGTACCATAATTTTGAAAATAAAAAAAAATGTGCCTCCATATGCTACAAATTCAATGCTACCTCTATGGTTGATTATTGATAAGAGTACAAATGGTCTTTTCTATATTTGACACATTTGATTTTTTAATGAAAGATCACGTTAATTGTCGGTGACTGTTAATTTAAAGTTCAAATTATTCAGGAACTGTTGATAATGGATACTATACATATTTGCAGGTAATGAATGACCTTATATGATTTTACACTTGTTCGCCAAGTCAGAGACTATGGGAAACACAATCAGCAATATTGTTCAAACGTTGTGCGATCTCATATTTTACATATGAATGGAGTTTGCGTGTGTTACCTGGCTGATCTGTCTACAGTGTGTAGATTTCTTCTACTAATACATGAATGTAGGCACAAGATTCAGTAAGATCTCGTTTTTGACTATAACTATGATGGTCTAGTGGTATGAATATGATTATGATATCATCTCTCAAAGGAAAAGTTATTATTCAGAATCACGATTCCAGTGAAGACTGATTCGAAGACCAAATAAAGATTACTATTTCCTGTTAACAAACTAAGTATTCGTCTTTTAATAGTGTGCCTTTCCATCACAAATATTGCCTACCCGATCTGGAAACTCTTCCTTCACGCAATCTTCACACATTTTCAAAGCGAGTGAGGGAATACCCGGAAGTACGCAGAGCCTAACTGAGACGTTAGTAATGATTGGCCGCTGAGAGCCAATGAAAATATTCCTTGCAAAGTGGCTAGGGGATACCTCAAGAAACTTTCTAGTAGCAGACGACGCAGATGAAACATGAAAATTCCTCTTCCAAACCGTTATTTGAAGAACCTTAAGAGCCAACCCTTGCCAGAAATTACTCCAGACGACGTTGATATTGTTATAGAGGTTTGAATTACTCTCACAAAAAACTAAACATTGTACATTCTGATAATTTCACAAGCCTAGTGTGAAGACAGGAAAACTGACACTTTCACTCCGGTAAATAAATACTTTGAAGTTATGTAGTTCTATACACTGTCGATTACAACGCCACGTGACGTTACATCTGTACTAAATGTCTTTTCCAGAATTTTAGATTAAAATTCCATTGTTGATAATGTTGTCTAAGGACAGGAATTCTTAGCGGGGGGTTATGTTGGGTCATTTCTTGACTGTAGGGCCACATCGCGGCTCTCGGCAAAGGAATTCATTGTTGTAGCCAATGCGGGCGAGAATTTGTGTTGGAGTATTTATATACAGTTATGCATACCTATAATCTCGCCCAGTCTATTACGAATGCTAAGTTAGTCCCTTCTCCTAAGGAGAAATAGTATGCATCTTTCGAAAGAATGACGAAACGTGGCTGGATGACTGACTAGCCTATAGATTAGTAGCCTAAGAGACTTTCCAAAATGTGTAAGGACTTGTAAGTTTCTCCTTATATCTGTGGTGATGTAGAACTGAATTTGGAACAAGTTAGGTTTATATCCGTGGAGATTCGGGTTTGAACTGATCCTCAGCAACCCTAGCTAAGAGCCGCGATGGGGTCCTACAGTAAAGGCATGACTGTAGGACCTTATGTTGTGGCTCTCGGCTACAGCAACCCATGCTTGTCCTAAGAGGCGACTAATGGGATCGGGTGGCCTGGCTCGGTGACTTGGTTGATGCATGTCATCGTATTCACAATTTCGTAGATCGATGCTCATGATGTCAGTCCCTAGATTGTCTGGTCCAGACTCGATTATTTACAGACCGCCATTATACAGGTTGAATGCTTCGTAGTACGACGTTAATCAACAAACAAACAAACATACAAACATGGGATAATATACCTCATGTGCTATGGTCTAGTGGATAAAGCGTCTGCCGGGAGAGCGGAAGGTCGGGGGTTCGATCATGTCAAAAGACATTGAAATATGATACTTGTTGTTTCCCTGCCTGGGCATTTAGAATCAGCCGCCAACCCCAAGGATCAAATCTTTGGTCCCAATCAGTTCACTGCATGATGCCATCAGCAAGATTAATTGATAAATGAAAACCATAACAGAGAATAATGAAACCATTTGATTCAATTGCTATGCTGGATTCGAATATTTTGTATTGATTTGTGTGCATATTTTCTCTTTGGCAGAGAGCAGAGGAAGACGCCCGTAAACGAAGGAAGGATGGAATATTAGCAAATTTGGACCAGCAGACATTAAATAACGTTGTAAATCAGGGATTTAAAACTCCCAATGTGTTGCCTTGTCGCAAACCAGAGGTTACCTGTACCTCACCACGACTACCTAGACTTGTGAATCTTAGTTTCAGTCAACCATCAACACCCAAGACACCGGCGATCTATAGACATTATCAAACAGGATATGCTGCAACCCCGTGTTTACCACAAAACATAACAGACAAGTATTCTTTTCCAGAACTTACATGTTATAGGTTATCACACGCCCAGCCCCTACCGTATTTTGATAAAAAAAAATACACACTCCTTAATGATATGATTTTAAAGCTATAAATATTTAAGAGAATAACAATGCAGTGAATTCTGATCAGTGGAAATCTTTAGTGGAATCTTAAGTTACATTGTGGCTTTTGAATACTAATTATTGCAGTTTTCCTGGAGATGGATTTGTCATCCCAACACCAATGGTTCTCAGCGCCCTAGATAGTCTACATGCAGTTGGCCCCTTTGGCGAAAATGTTCCTGACATTTTGGATTTTATAGGTACTGCTTGAATACCATTACAAGTGACGAAAGTGACACGTTACAAAAATTAACCACCAAGAGGCTACAATAAGACCTGTAAATTTTCTTGCACTGATTTGTCATTGTTGAACATGCTGTTGCCCTAGAGGTGTGCAGGTATGTTCGTTTAGTCTAAGTCTTGAAGTCTTCAATTTTGTTTCCAGTAACAAGGACATCTTAATTTTCATGCATATTTTCTAACACGGCATGGGATAAGTCTTGGTTATTAATGACTACATTTGTTATAGATGATGATAGCCATGATATGAGAGCTATTGATGAACATATTCGTCAACACGGCCGTGTTGATTTGAATGACAACAATGTAGTGGATTACCTGCTTGGAATAACTGAAGATACGATAAAGCCTGAAGCAAAAGCTATTGAAAGACCGCGCCAGCCACAAGTTTGGGTATGTTGATAAGTAGACTTTAGGGTAGCATGCAACAACACAAGATACAATACGGTATCAACAACGTTCTTTTACGTCCGATTCAAACAGTATCTCTGACCAAGACGTTTGTCTTTCCATGAAAATCTCAGTATTATCATGATTATACCTTTACTACTAGTCTCTATTTAATAGCTGAAATCAAAATAGAATACTACTTTAATATAATTTATTGCATATATACAATATATATTTTCATAAGACCTACTACGATCAAGGATAAAAAGAAATCATACCTATGAGTATGAGTTTGATCTTTTCCGCCAAAGGTACATATTTTGTTGATGTCATTTGCTGAAACCGCTCTTAATGTCAGACCCATGTTGATGATGATCAACCTCTACGGAGAATGACACGGCGGAGATATCTTCACTCAAAGGTCATCACTGCCGAGGAGGAAAAGTCTCTCCGTAAACTGAAGAAGAAACGAGATAAAGAACGCAGGAAGGAGAGAAAGGATCTATTCAAGAAGGAAACTAAAGGAACACGAAGGGTTTGTAAAAACACTTGACTATTACCTTGGCACGTCTGTAAGTAATTATACACAATAACAACCCTATTGATATGTGATTACATAGATATCTAGCTTGTGTCTTTACGATTTGTGAAAAAACAATTTCAGCAGTGGACGTAAAATCCTGTATTTCTCTCAAATATAGGAAATCTTTTTCTTACAAATGGTTCATTCTACAACGAAGAATATCCCCTTCTATAGATTTACGAAAATTAAGCAATTAACAAAGTTTAAATGTACTTCGAATGAATAGTGAGGGGCCTAAGAGTTCAAGATACCGTGCCTTCGGGCGTGAGTTGTACACAACTAAACCGCACACATGGTGCATGGGCATTTGTAATATCCTATGCATTGAATAGTAAGAAGGGATTAATATCATATAACTCTAAGATTAATCCAACCTTATTTCTCATGAATGCCCTTGAGTTGGCCTTGGTAGTCACTCATTGTCGGAAGCAAACTATTCTATATGAGATATTTATTGTTAGACTTTCCCACAGAACGATTCAGTTAGTTGTCGTATAGACTGACACCACAATGAATTCCAATTATAAATCTGCAGGGCACCTCACTCACTACTCCGAATGTATATCAAAAGAAAGTTATTTCAAATATATACTGAATAGTAACCTTGTGTGTACCTACTTACGGCACTGCAATATACCAGATTTGTACACTGTCATTCTAAGCATTCTAACCCCAATGTTAACCACAATATATGTGTATGGTATTGGTTTTATTCACAGTATTTTATTCGCAGTAGAAACAAATGTCTGCACATGGCATTTTATCAGAATAAATTTTCTTTTGTAAGGTCTTCTACTTCCAATAAGATTAGCTAATAGGATATTACCAGGACCAAGGCCTAAAGGATTAACTCCACTAGCCCAAAGGATATTTCTAATCTTATATCCTCCATTCCTTTGGTAGACGGCTGGTCTGTCACTACATGCTTGATTATTTGGTCATCTGTTAGAAACTGGTACGAATATCATGATCAATGTCAGAGATAAGCTCCTATTGTCTTGAAGTTACATTAAGAGGTGTTAGGAAACGGTAGTGGCAAAATAAGCCATAGCAACTTCTTATGTTTCATACATCTTATACAGTGTGCAAGGATCTACACTGGACCATTGCCATAATCCTATAATCTGCACATCAATACACTTTGCTGAAATAAAGGTTATCACTGTAATCATAGCAATAATTATCTACCACTGCACATGGCGTTATATTGCAACTTCTTACATTCCCATGATTTAATGCTGATCATCACCCTATCGTATGATTCGTCCCTACGTCGGCATGTTACATGCCCCTGTCTTATCTTCAAAACAGTTCAGGGTGTATTCTTGGAACTTGGACTATGTTTGAAGCATGCCATCTAATGCGGCCCTTTTGCTATTTTCCATTACATATTATTTGCTCTATCAGGCTAGGGGCGGTCGGGTAGCCTAGTGGTTAAAGCGTTCGCTCGTCACGCCGAAGACCCGGGTTCGATTCCCGACATGGGTACAATGTGTGAAGCCCATTTCTGGTGTCCCCCGCCGTGATATTGCTGGAATATTGCTAAAAGCGGCGTAAAACCATACTCACTCACTCACTCACTCTATCAGGCTAATAATGGACAGTTGTGTACGTTTCAAAACTATTGAAGAACTGGGGTTTTTAATCTTTCAGTTGTCTTAGACTTGTAATGTTGACCGATGAAACAACTTGAAATTGGTTAGAGATGTTCCTTCTGAAGCAGGTTCTTACTCAAAGAGTAGATCTTCTTGAAATACTTTGCAGTATTTTCCCCACATTTGGTGGGACCTTATGAGAATCATTTCCATAAAAAAGACGTTCAGTTCCCCTGGGTGTTCTAGTCCATATAAAACTGATTCCAAGATGTTTTACATCAATCATTTTGTGTGAGATATGTATTCTTCTGATGGCTCTTTCCCGTTGTGTTTGGGAAAGTTGTACGACCTATACTTCCTCTTGGAAACATGCCAGAAGGTATCTTTTTGGAGAGGTGCGGTATTAACGCCGAATGGCATTTATCACTGTGCTTTAATGTTGAGATGGAAACATTATCCCTTAACTCGATTGAAATCAGTGCACATACTTTGCCTATGTGTGCTTCATTAGATAATTTACAAGTAAAGGTACTCACAATTTGAATTTCTTACCTTATTTCAGAGCAATAGAAAGAGGAAGGCAGTCAAGTATTCGTGATTCTGAAGATTTCATCTCTTCCTGCAGGTTCAACAATGGACTCACATATCGCGTTTGTTATTATGTAGATATCGTATATAAACATATTGTTACAGACAGTTGGTTTGTTTATGTGTGCAAACACTGGATACAGTTGGTTTGTATATGGGATACACTTAGGCTACCGATCACGTCTCTTACAAGTTTTCACAAAGTTTATTATTTTTCTGCCCCCCCCCCCCCCCCCCCCCTGGAAAATCCGGAATATATTTGGTCCTCTGTAACCCATGCTTGTAGTCAAATGCAACTGAAGTGGATCGGCTGGATGACCTGGTACCCCGACACATTGCACGCTACTCATACTATTAACCACTGGTGTATCTGTCGCAGTCTTGGATTATTTACAGGCTACATGACTGCAGCATTAAACAACAAACGAACTAAACAATAAAATGTGTCTTTGTTTACAAAATATAAGGACTCAAGTTATCTTGAAAACATAATTAACTAAAACAAACGGTATTAAGCGAAATAACTTTACATATAAAAAGGATCATCCATTATAAAAAATATCAACGCTCAGTTGTGATCACTATACTAGTTAAGATTGCGAGAAGCAATGATTTTGTTCAACTGAAACATTTATGTTTTTCTACCTATATAATAGTATTACACCAATGTAGCATGTGTAACATTTTGACATAAGTTACAATACATTTGATTACATATAACGTAGCTCATGCGATGTCGTATGGGTTTTTTATCATATAACCGTCAGCCGGCGAAATACATTGTATAGTGTTTAGGGAACACAAATGTGTATTTGCTGTGTTGGCTCAAAGGAACTGTAGCATATAACATATCTGACAGCATATGGAAAGCTTTCATTCAGTAAGCCGCTGGTGGTAGGGTAATCGTGACATCTATCTATGTTTCCGCCCTTTGTTACTGTAACCATACTTTGATACTTGATCTAACTGTCAGGGTCCACGCATGCCATTGGCAACGATTACTGTGTTGTTTTCACAGTTGTAGAATGTTATATTGTCTGGGTCTCCCGTGGTCGATACGCCTCCTTACATCCAACAGTACACTAACAGTATCTATTAAAGTAGACCCCTTATAACAATCCTTTAATCCCGCCCACAAACTAACCCTTAAGTATTTCATATCCCAGGTTGCGCTACTCACTCTACAGTCTAGGTTTATTATATATATTCTGACCCACTTTAAGAGCCTCTGTCAATTGAATATATCTGTCATCCAATAACTTGCAATTTGCCACTCTTTCATGGAAATGGATTTCCCATACTCGCGGCAATCAGTTTATATTCATTTCGTCTTTGATCACGCTGTGCATGTCTTCCAGTGCGTACACAAGAGTTTGTGTAAGAGGGATCTTTATGATTGGGTATAGCTGCTTTACAAGTCGTGATCGTGTAAACGCAAAGTCTATTACACTCAGTAAACATACATGTACAATTTGGCTTAAACGAACAGGTGGTTTAGGGTGTGCGAACTACAATGCATTGTGAACAAACGACCCAGTATGTCGGAAGCACGTTCTGGGTACCTGCTCGTGATAAATCTGGATGTATTACATGAGGCCAAAAAACTTGCGGGAGAAACTCAGGCAACACTCCCTAGATACGACTCAACATCGATCTCATCTCACTGTTTGTGTCTAGCCACGCAGGGGGACGCGCACCCATCGACGTTTGCTCACAGTTAATACCCGTGATTAAACGGTTTATCTGCACGCTACTCAGTCTGACAAGGCTTTGTGCATGACGGGTATTGATATTTTGATACACTACCAAAGTCACTTGATAACAACACCAGTGTGACGGTGTTTCGATGCTTCAATACATCTGTTGACAACCACGGGCTTATCAAACTCTCGGTGTCACAACTGAGTTGAACATATTGCTTTTCCTTCAAGTGGTGGACTATTTATTAAAGATGGACATATGTGTATTCATTTGACAATTGGAATTTTAATTACCAAGCGACAGTGTATGAGAAGAAACAGTTTGTCGGTGAAATAGATTCAATATTGCTGCACCGTGCAGGTAAGACCTGACCATTGCTATGATCGGCTATGTGTTTTCGCACATGTGAATAGTGAGCATAAACATGGAGTCGAATTCTAATTCGGCTCCTCCAGTGAATAACGCTCTGTTACCGGACATTTACAACAAGTTGGATGCAGACTTGCAAGAGAGGACACGTGTAATTAACACTCAGTTAGACAAACGACTGTCAATGCAGGAGAGAGTCCTTAATAAGTACCGAAGGGCAGCGGAGAGGTTGTATAAAGAAGAGTCCATTAGAGTCAGACAAGATCTTGTCAAAATCAACAAAAAGCTACCAGCAGTTGGCAACATCAGAAACTTTTGTTTAGGATACATTTCGCGGAAGAAGAAGCATGGTAGGAAAAGGAAGGGCATTCCTGAAGAGAAGATAGACATGCCTTTCTGTGAACGCCACTTTATTCATCATCTTCCAACTAAGAAGAAGTTTTATAAGCAGCCGACGCCAACTCCTCCTCCGCCAGGTGATGTAGAAGGAGGAGCGAATGTTGTCCCCGGTGATGCTGCTGTAGTGAACGGGGTTGTTCCAGCAGGGGAGAGTGTGACCGACACGGATGGAGTAGGAACCGACGTCTCACTTGGGGTGATGTCTGATGTGCAATTGAATCCAGTGGAACCAAGACGCGTGTTGCCTGCATCGCGGTGACACGATAGGTAGTCCACGCAGAAAAGTATGGTATCTCTGTTTCCTGGTGCATTCGGCTGATATCAAGGTATCAACTTAAACCACCTATCGTCGTTGCCATATTTTGAACTGCTATGTTGTACGTGAACCGACATGTTCTTGAAAATATTGTTGTTTCCATTACATATGATGTTAGTGATGGATATTTTTATTGTCTTATTTTAGATTAATGAGTTCATCATACGTGGGACGCCATGGGGTGTACCTAAATATGATGACACATTTTGTGGCACAATTTAGAGAACATCGAGAGAACATGGCTTCCAAACGTGACAAATAAACAACTTTAAAGGTGTATTATTATTTTAATCAACTGGAAACTTACATTTTTCAACAGTAAGTATTAAATGGTTTAAGCTTGTAATCTTGAGAGTTGAGACGATATTGTATTTCCATTGGGCCTGTTTAATACCGCGTTATTGGTTGTCAACCGAGACTGATTATTAGAACATTGTATAACAAATTGCGTCTGGTTGCGCCAAGAAATGGAATTACTGTTACATATAATCAATCACTGTCGCATAAAACTGCTGTCAAAGCACCTGACATGGTTATATGATAAACTGCATAACTTCCACTTCTCGATTCTTGTCATTGCTTCATTTTGAAATATTAGTTCCATATTCATGGTCGATTGTAATTAATGACGCGGAAACAGTTTCCGGCACGCATCAATCAAGGCATGATCACCCTAGCGTCGTGTCTGGTATAGTGGTTCATGGGGTGAACTATCAAGCCTGAACACACCGGGGGAAAGAATCCGCTCGTAATTAGAAGAACTCAGGCAGACGTAAGCTTCAAAAGGACATGTTTATTATAAAAGCACGCAAGTGACAATTTATCATGAAAACATCCAATTTACATTTATCCTCTCCAGTCCAATATCAAAACGGGAAGTTTGATCAAGGTGCTGTCGTGACCATAAGGGTTTTCTCACGGCTCGGATGATAGCCGTGACACGCGATTAATGATCAGTTTTATCCATAAATGAGTATCAGTTCGGCCATAACGAGGCGGCTGGTTGCATGGAGACTGATTACATCGAGTGTGTGGAGATTGCTAGACAGGAAACATGCTCTGTGGGATCAATGACTTGGAATTAGACAGGTCTGCATGCACTAGGGATGGGCGTTAGCATGTCGGTAATTTAAATGTTAGGAAAAGTCGTTGCAGGAATAATGGCTGGTAACTGATGAGTGCTTCTGGAATAGCTAAGAACAATACAATAGAACATTTTGTATTGACGTGTCAATATTTGTATTAATATATAATGTGAGAAAACATGCAGTTGTATGATAGTTGCAACTTCTGGTTCATTGCCTTTAGCGGCGTTGTTTCGATGTAGATTCTGAAACCCTATTTCTAGAATGCCAATCAAACAGTTAATATAAAATATGTCCCACTCGATTTGACTGAGACGTCTTTCTCAGAAATTCATTAGCCTTAAGTCATAACTACTTTCAGAGAAATCAACAATGTTATGGGCCGACTGTGTTGATTTTTACACATCGTTATATATATATATATTTGTACACCAAACAATATGAATTTCAAGAAACTTATCCGTACTCATGGGGTAGTTAATAAGTTTCACATTGACGTCCACTTTGTGGAACAATTGTAACCTCACAAACAAGAGAACCTATTGAGCGTTTTAGTTGTTTCAATAATATCAATTTTGTCATTAAAAATCTACTGCCCGTCAGCTCATCACTTTTGATCGAACATTCACCAACGTGTTATTAATTTTAGACCTAATATTTGAATTGCTTTAACATCTCCCATACACAGAAAGAACAGTGTGAACAGGTGCTTTGCGGAGACTATGTCATCAAGAAATACTCATCCACGCTTCGACGAACAGCCGAGACTTGAAGCCAGTGTTTAATGACTTCCCTTTCGTTTCTGTTTGGAACGACAGTGAAATGAAACTTTTGTTGTCCTTTTCTATTTTTGGCCTCGCGTGTCGATACTGTCATCAATCATTTTCAGAACTTTTAAATGGAAAAGTGGTTTCAGCAGTGGAACGGTGTAGTATGACATGACATGACTTCGACCGTGCTGATATATATATATATATATATATATATATATAGTGGCATCTGATTTTCAATTGATAACACTGTGACATGTGAAATAGAACAAAACATATTTGCGCTGATTTATATCCCTTTTCACAATTTCGATCAGGAGATACCTCTGATAATGATGAAACAGAACCCGGCTGTGACCCACGCCGACAATAATTATTGCCTTGTGAATCCAAACAACGTAGGTAGAAGAATATATATTAGTATCCAGTGTCGGGGGAATACATCTGAAAACGTAAACGATACAGGTACAATATTTTATCTTAAAATGCGAGATCAACAATTCTTTATATATCCTGTTCCTGTTACATCAGTGAAACAGAAGATGTTCTGTTTCAAATGCATTTAAAGTAGGCACTAGAGGCCAATGTATGTATGCTTCATGTTTTGTGAATATAATTATTTGAATTTGAATATAAACATCGGATCAACACAATGAAACGCGCTGATTACACAAAATACATGCATAAAAATAAATACAGGGCCGAATCATTGAGGTCGGGGATAGTTTTGGTATTAATTGCGATACGTACATCCGTTTGTATCTCTCCTGGATCGGAGCGCCAAAGGAGTATATATGATAACATCACGAGGCCGGTGAAGCCAAGCCGGTGATTTGCGACCAGAAGGTTGTCATTCAACTTGTTCAGAATTTAGCTACTAGCTACAAAAAAAATATATATACAGGAAATATCATTTTGGTCTTTGCACAGGTATAGGTGTGCAATTTGTTATGCAGTTAATCTCGTTCGTCATGCCCAAATGTCCAATGACGATTGCAGCAATATGTATATAGCCCGTGTCTTTTTCCACTTATATTGATGAAGGAAATCAACGCAGTATCTACAAAGTGTCGACACTTTGCCTACGGACGTTTAAAGTGTGGACGTTTGGGAAACAAACCTTATATATGACTTTGAATAAACAAATGTAGAATTTGGTCAGTGGAGCTAGCTAAGACTTTAATTGATTTATACTTAAATCAGTAATTCAACCAACATTCCAAATTACCATGGCAACCGTATTAAAAAAGCCACATTTGTGCGTTTTATAATATAATTATGCTTGCACACATACAGCTGATCCAACACAGATTATCGTAGCTAACGTTTACACGACGGCATTTGCTATATTAAGCCTATTTGACTATATGTACACACATGTGATTTATAGGGTATTTGATTCCTACATTATACGGAAAATGATTGGTCCAATATAACTGTCAATTTTCGTATAAAAAAAGAAGCTCTTTTTCTAGTTTTCTCACAACGATGCGATATTACATACATATATATCATGAAATATGCGAATAAGATTTTTTGATTTGACCACTCTTATCGATGATTTATTTCACCCATAGCCTTAATCTTAAACCAAATATTAGTTGTATTGGTATGGCATGGACGATGACATGTCCCAGTCTCTGTGTACTCTGTGTAGTTTGAACCTTCCTACGTGGTAACCAAATAATTTATGAATTGATTATTGGGTTTGTAATGGTTGTAATACAACTAATCGTAGTCCAAAAGCAAACATGATCGATCCAAGATAATAATTATTGAATTGTGCGTGTTTTAGAGTAATTAGGGTCTATGAGCCTCTCGTTCCTGTTACTTCCTACACTAAGACACTTCTGTATTAAGTAAACTCATCCAAACGTTTTGGCCTGAACTATTTCAGTGCTGCTATCTCCAGCATGTAAATTTCCGTGTTATATCGTGATCAATGAAGAGTGAGTGAGTGAGTTGGGTTTAACGCCACTTTTAACAGTATTCCAGTTATATATAGCGTGCCAGCTTAATGTGGGAGGAAAGCCCGAAGTGATGCAGGTCTCCGACGTTTACCACTTCGGTGAAACCCACGAGCACGGGTATGGTGCTGACAAACCTAGAAACATAATCGGGGTTATCAATGAAGAGAATACACGTCCATATATCAGGCAATATCCTACTCTATCAGATTTTTGTGTTTTTACAACAGCAAACTATTCTTCTGTAAAATACAATATGGTGTTTAATATTGTGTATAATCATATATTTTTAGGTGTACATATTCCTATGTCATAAATCTTCAAAACTGGTTATTCTATATTTTCTCATAATACGTGCCCTACATACGTGAGTGAGTCAGTTGGGTTTTTCTCCGCTTTTAGCACTATTCTAGCAATATCGCCACCGGGGACACCATGCATGCACTACCTACTACGGGACCCGTGAAGATACGGGGTAGAATAGGTCTTCAGCAACCCATGCTTGCCGTAAAAGGCGACTATGCTTGTCGTGCGAGGCGACTAACGGGTTCTTGTGGTCAGGCTCGCTGACTTGGTTGATGCATGTCATCGTATCCCAATTGCGTGGATCGATGCTCATGATATCAATCACTGGATTGTCTGGTCCAGACTCGATTATTTACAGACCGCTGTCATAGAGCTGGAATATTGCTAAGTGCGGCGTTAAACAACAAACGGATGAAAAAATAACCCTACTACGGTAGGACAAGCCGAAGCTTTACCCTTAGCCCACATCGATGTATAACGATGTGTGTCAAGTGACATGTTATGCAAGAATGCATTGTATACGTTTGAAGCGCATTAAACGTCTACACTAACATAAAGAATGTACATTATATTAAACTGAAACACAAACTCTTACACCAGTATCGATGTATTGCTGTGAAGCATACCATATGTCATACCAATGCAAGAATGATTTTGATAACACTTAAGACGCCTACACCAACATTGATGTATAACCATGGTTATCACATGGAAACTCATGCATCAATGATATTACATGAGCGACAGTTTGCCATTCTTTTGTGCTTATTCCGAAGTACTCGTTGGTTCAGAATAAAATCTCTAAAATGAAGGGAGTCGGAGTATAGATTACATATTATTCAACCCTGAAGATTTTTTTTTGAAACGATAATTGGGAAGGGATAAGATTGTGAAGATACCTTGAAACTGCTCTTGCTTCTTTGTTTATGCATCAAACTTTGGCTAAATATGGATGCATGTTTCAAACGTGCTTTCTTGGGTATCTTAAATACACGTGTATATTATGTTATTTAACACCAAAACATTCTGAAAAAATAAAATTGATTTCTCATTCGAGTGAAATAACATTATATATGCCGGAACTACATTCAATCTCCATAACATTATGGTTTTCAAAGATCACCAAGAAATGCAGAATAAATATAATATTTGTATATTCTTGTTAAATAACAAATGCATCTTATCGAGTCACCTCATGAAGTTGATCTGTGAAAGTGTCAACGTCGTCAGGTCAAGAGATGGGATAAGCATGTTATTTGACAAGAAAAATACACATATCCTTTCTGTATTAATAAGCAGATATCTGGTATAAAGAACACTATTGATTAGTTCCTTTCCTGATTGACCTGACGCGCATGAGCAGGTGATGACGTCATTGTCATGACTTCCGAATTTAAGGCCCAGTCTGGCTATCTGAAATATAATTGAAAT